AATCTAGAGCTCATTTATTACCTAAAATGCAAACTTTTGCTTAATTATGAAACTATATTTTTTGAAAAAGAAATCATTGTTTTTAAGCCGAGATTTATGCGTTTATATTCATACTGAAAATATAATGAAAATTATTCTGTAAACAAGAAGATTTATTAGTGTTTAGAATATTTGTGTGCTTGCAATTAAATGATAGAAAAAGTATTTGGCATCCTGGATCGTCTATTATTGATGTCTTGTAACTTATGTCATGACTTTTTATTGTAATTGTAATTCATTGACAATATAAAGGAACTCAACTGAAGCTGTGAATTGAGACAAATTCTGTTGAATAAACTTTATATTGTTTTTTGTATAATAGAAACATATTTAAGTTTCATTTGAATGGTGTATGAAAGTGGACTCATAAAAGATTTTGAATTATTATAGGAACACATGATTTGGATCTAAATGGTTATCCGGACTTATTAGTTGGCGCTTATGAAAGCGATGCCGTATGTCTGATCCATTGAGTGCTTTAATTGTTTAACTGTTTATATTTTCCTTAAATTAAAAGGTTTTGCTGTTCAGGTCGAGACCTATTATAGATATTCAAACTTCAGTTACATATGAAAGCGATGCCGTATGTCTGATCCATTGAGTGCTTTAATTGTTTAACTGTTTATATTTTCCTTAAATTAAAAGGTTTTGCTGTTCAGGTCGAGACCTATTATAGATATTCAAACTTCAGTTACGGGAGAATTAAGTCAAATCGATCCCAACAAGGAAGGCTGTCGGGATGATCTCTATTCCAAATTAGTTTGCTTTTCATTTAACGCTTGTTTTAAATTTAATACAACTTTGAGGTCGACTTTCACATCATTTTTAAAACTCCATTATCGCATTGAAGCCGAAACATACACTGGTATTGCATTGCATTGTATTTAATTTGGAATGACATTAATCTGTTATAAATTTTGATTGAAAAAAATAGGTAAAAAATATTATAGAGTCAAATTTGGTCAGTCGGCCGACTCAGACACGCCTAATATAGTTGAACGCGATATTACTATAAGAGGTAATAATTAAGATAAATGTTGTTTAACTATTATGATATCAATGAATTTGTGGTATAGGTGTGAGTGATCTGCAGAGTGAGCACTGTTCCAAAGAAATAGTTTATCTTAAAGACAAATCCGATATTCAAAACCCTGTGATGTTTGAGTTGACGTATTCACTCATTCAAACAAAGCCGCGAATGCCAACCGACGGCGAAACACTTCCAGACCTTAATAAATACCCGATTCTTAATCAAGAGGAGGCACACCGGGTGTTTGAAGCCCGGTTTCTTAAAGAATGCGGTATTGCTTATTAGTGACACCATATCACCATTGAGTGCTTACTTATTTGCATTTATGAACGCAGGTTCCGATGAGATCTGCGAAAGCGATTTGAGAGTAGAGGCGGATCTGACCACTAAAAGGAGAGACGGCACCAACACTTATATGTTATATTTGGGTATTCATACATTCATGACTTATTTGTTTGGGTTGATTGAGAAATGTATGTTTGACTTATAGGTGAAGAGCACCTGAGTCTTAATGTTCGGGTAATAAACAAAGAAGAGCCCGCATATGACGCCAGTGTTTACATAACACATCCTTCAAGCCTTAGTTACGTCGGCCGCAAAATTACAGTAAATTCTAATATAATGGCATTTAAATAATGTTTATAATTAAACACCAATTTTGACAGAAAGGGGACCAATTGGACTGCAGTCCAAGCAATAGGACGACCTTAAAGTGCGATTTGGGAAACCCTTTCAATCGGGGAAACGTGGAATTCCAGCTCAGATTTAATCCGTTGGGTCTTTCAGACGCAGAAACTAGTCTTCAAATTCAAATCCTGACGACAACGTAAATGATATCACTTTCTCATTGTATTATCAAAGTATAACTCGATTCACTTGATCATTTCAATCTACAGGACAAGTGCTGACAAGTCAGTGAACGACGATTTAGTGACACTCACTGCAGAAGTCATTCGTAACGCAGAATTGGAATTAAGCGGCAATTCTGAAGAGCAGGCCGTCAGATATGGCGGTGAAATCAAAGGCGAAGCGGCCATTGTATGCATATTCAGACATTTCTTATATAAATATATATTAGTTTATTATGTTTTATTAAATTATACATAAATTTGGCAGAAATTTGAGGACGAAATCGGAAGTAGAGTTTTCCATAAGTATATCGTGAGAAATGCCGGCCCCTGGAAGGCCTCTCGTATTGATGTGAACATCTCGTGGCCCTATCAGGTCGAGAACGGCAGAGAACATGGAAAATGGTTTGCAATCAATACATATGCCGACTAAGACTTAATTGTTTGATTACCCGTAAATACAGGTTACTCTACTTGACTGGTGTACCTCAAGTGACTGGACAGGGAGGTAAAGGCTATTGTCTGATGGGTCCAGAACAAGTCAATCCACTCGACTTCGACGTAATTTTACTTTTTATATTATTACAAATTGATGTCATTAATAAACTAATATATTTTTGAATGACTAACTAATAATTAATTAATTAAATTATTAATAGATTAACTCTGAATACAATTCAGTGGTCGATAATATGCCTGTAAGTAAAATTGATAACATTTTATAACAAATTACTATTATTTTTATTGAGATGTTATAAATTAAGTGTTTAGTAAACAGATAGTTTTATTAAAACTAATTTTACTTATACCGTAGAAAGCCTAAAATATTACTAAAATTAACTTGGTGACAATAATTTTTCAAATGTTTTGAAAAGACAACTTTCCAATTATATTTTAATTTCATTTAAAATTAAATTTTGTAACGAGTCACATCATAATAGTTAGCATGGTCATATTTTGGAAGATAAACTTTTGGTCTTTAATATATGAAGCGAGCTATAGATTGAGTTTATGATGAATTGGATAACTTCTTTATACAGACAATTACTGTATTAATAATGGGTGTACATGTCATTGCAAACACCAACAGTATATGATCTAAATTTATAATATAAATTTATTTAATTATGCATTTATAGAATCAGTAATTAAATAATATTCAGTATAAGAAGGATAGAATAATTCTGTATTAACGGTCAGGTAGTGTTAAAAGATTATAACTTGTGTCTTAAATAAGTGTAAATTACAGTACATGTGCCCTTAAGTCACTATATTTTTAGTTTACTGTTATATTGCTATAGAAATGTAAGAATAAATGGTATATTTGATGAATGCTTTCATTGGTTGTGACAGAAAATGCCCGAAAATCGCGGCACAAAGACTCGTAGAAAGCGAGAGATGGTTGTCCTGCCCCGGGAGGTGAGAACGTCTGACGGAAGCATTCAGAATGTGGTGACAATGAGTTGTGGTTCGGGCGCCCGATGTTTCAACTTCACGTGTGTTGTACTCGATTTAGCCGCCAATCAAACAGCGGTAGGCTTTCCATTCATTCCCATTATATATATTTCTATATAATTCTAAATCCAATAAAGAGTGGGAGCTCTCAGTCAAGGAGTGTCTGTCTCCTCACTATTAAAGGACTTAAGATTTTAATAAAACTCCGAACCATTGCTTTCGTTCAATGGCCTCGAGATAGTTAGTGAGCAGTGATGAGAGAGAGAGAGAGAGAGCAGACAATATTTTGTCTGGAAATCAATTCAAGGATAAATGAAATATTTTTAAAAATTAATTACAAATTATTTGTATTCAAAAAGTATATTTCTTAAATATTTATTTTAATATTTAGAAGTTTTTTTTGGAGTTTTATGTAAGAATTTTTGTTTTTAATAATTTTAATGCAATAATGAGTGGGAGTTGAGGTGTGTTTCTATTGGAGTTATAAAACAATTTGAGAATTATTAGTAAAAAACAAAATAGCGTTCATTGGCTTTGAGCCAGTCCATTTTTGCCTAACTACTATAGGCAAATGTTATTAGAATCTTAAAGAAAATGAAAAGCTTAAACAAAGTTTGATATTACGGCTGTTATCATATTATTTGAATTGAATGACAATTGTTTGCGAAATGATTGATGAGATGTGTTGACAATCAGGTGATCCGAATCGCATCGCGTCTGTGGAACGCCACTCTTGTGGAGGACTATGCGTTTGGTGTGAATTATGTGGTCATCAAATCCAACGCTGAGATACGTTTGGATCCAACGCTTAATATTCAACAGAACAGACACAACGACTTCTTCTCCGTAAGATTTGAGGCATTCATTAGCCATAAAATTAATGCATTGTTTTTCAGGTGGAGACCAAAGCCATACCTGATGTGACATTACTGTTGCCCCGAGAGGTCAGCTGGTGGTGGCTCATCATAGCCGTCCTCCTCGGCCTCATTTTATTAGCACTTCTTATACTCATTCTCTATAAGGTTTGATCGGTTTATGCAAACGAGTGCTTCAATGAGACTAATGTTATATTTGACCCAAAGGTTGGATTTTTCAAACGAAAAAAGCCCGGATATATGGCCGCCAACACCGATGACAAGGACTAACCGGTCTTCCATTGATCACCACTAATGAATGACAGCTATAATCATTTCATTTGTTATCAATTAAATCATTAATTCTTTTTAAATCAAAAATATATTAAAAGCAAAATTTGTTATTATTATTACATAAATTAATTTTAACTTAAAATCAAAATATTTTTTGAATAAAAATCTAAACTTAATTTTATTTTAAATATTTATTAAAAATTATTACAAATAAATGATAAATAAATTAAAAAATTAATGTAGAGTGCAGTATTATAAATATGTTTTTATAAAATGAGAAAGTTACTATAATATTGAGATTTGCTATTTTAAATATGCAATAAGTGTGAACACTAATGATCATGTTAAATTAAGTTCTGTAATTTCATTACAGTTTGAAAGTTACCGTACAAGCTTATTGATAATCGATAAATAAACCACAAATGTTGGACAAGGTACTGTACCATACAGTAGATTTTATATGCACACAAATATTACTATGGTATATTTAGTGAACATCAAGATTCTTTTTGAGATGTTTTTTCAATAACTTATTTTTTCAAGATTCTATTTATGCATTTTGGGTTACTGTATATGCAATCGTATTATGCCTGGTGAGATTACTTGTTTAGAGTATCAAATAGTATAAAAGAATATCAAATGTATAAAAGCAATCATTTTGAGCATAAGTATAATCCCTGAGAAGCTATGGATTACTAAATGAGTGAATCGTCCAAAAGTGACTACTTTTTGATGACTAAGTAAATCAGTTGAAGATGTTATAGAGAATGGCGAACAAAACACAGGCGCCATAGACTCCCAGTGCTATCCACCATATGAGCTGTTCGTGAAGTTTTTGTTCAAAGTTTTTTAACACTATTAAACCGATCGTAAGTCCGGCCAACGCTCCGGTCAGATGAGCCACGTATGAAACTGGACCGGCATTTGGGTGGACATACCTGTCGTATATGGCGATCCCCACGTCAGTCGACGCTAACAAGAGACCACATTTGAGACCATTTCACTTGCAATCACTATAACACATACCGACGACTAAGACGGCCACAAGTCGTAAGGTTCCCGACACCATGTGATTGTAGTTCAGCAATACATTGGCTAAGTGTGCGGCCAATAGGGCGTATACACCACCGGAAGCGCCGACTAGATATACATCCGAATCAAACACTGATGTCCCCAATGAACCTGTCATTCACACGTGTATTCATTGAGTTAATCAATCAATACTTCACTCGTGAGTTGACATACCGGCCAAAACTCCTGCCATATATACGGTTGCGATTCGAGTGGACCCGTGAACCATCTCAAGAGGCAATCCCACCAACATTTGCACCAATAAGTTGAAAAACAAGTGAACCCAACTGTTGACATAATGTTGAGTGAAATGTGTGGACAAGTGATGAGACAAGTGATACAAACCCCGCGTGTAATACCAAATACAAGACAAATCTCCAGATTTCACTCCTTTTGTCGGGTCTGTAGATAAACATACTGTCGACGGGAACGGGTCCTGAAGGGCTCACACCTCCCTCTTGGGTCCAGTAGAATATGAAGAAAGCCAACTATGGGTCAAACAATACATTAGCAGACATTAGGAGATGCTATGAATGGCAACAATCACTTCAGTGAGGGTTATGGTGACGATGAAGAGTGGCGGCGGTCGACACGAGTAAGAGTCGGCGTAATACTTGCGGTCCCTCTCGTCCGCCAAGAAGTGATGACCAATTGCTTTGACCATTGCGTGCAAACACGTGTCAACACTCAACTTGGGATCAGTTGTGTTCACGTCGGAACCCAACTGTCAATACAATAGTCACAGTTAGACACCATTCACAGTCATGTCAAGCTTAGGCCATATATTGGGCTCATTTGTGGTCAACAGTGGACTCATATGTTATTACCAGATGTCATCCAAATGGACACAAACATCACCATTAAGTAGGTCTCTGTCTTACTGTTCACTGCAATCACTATACTCTATGTCTAACAATAGACACAAACATCTGTTCACTCACTCTGTGTTCACTCGTATGACAAGTCAACCAAAACCAGTCCAAAAAAGTTTGCATTCAATGCAAACACTTTTCTTAACGTAATACTGTACACAATTTGTATTTAATACAGTATATATTGTACATTGGTGCTTTTGTCAAACTTTTAGTCACATTTTCCATAAACTTAACATTTAGATCTCCCATAGAACCAGCATGAACCAATATGAAATGTTTCACTTAGACTTTAATTGATCTTATGAACACATTTTCCAATAGAAGTAACATGGAAATTTGGTGTATTTTACTCCATAGACTTAACGTTTTGAAAACAAATAGAATTTTCCTATAGACTTAACATGAAGTTTTGAGCACTTAACGATTTTTAAAATTCCTATAGATTTAACATGAAAACGTTTTTTGAGCAATGGCCCGCAGTGAATACAACTACATTAATGGGATTTTTTAAACTTGTGGCATAAGAATCGTGCACAGTCAGTTTACTTAACTTGTCCATAGGTTTAACAGGGGGTTGAGAACAAGGGTTATGTTATTTCATTGTTATGTCTTTCATGTTATTATTAGACATCATGAAACTTAATTTTTCATTATTCTGGGATTTTCCATAGAAATAACAAAGTCTTGATGCTTTTTGCGACCTAATCTCCCCCATGTTAAGTCTATAGGATTGTATGAGTTAGGTGTCATATTATAGAATAACGGGAAGAGAGTGGACTTGTTTTTGCATATAATGTATATTCAGTTATGAACCCATTTTGAGTACCGGAATAATTGACAATACAATATAATTGAGTTAATAATTGAATTGAAGTTGTGATGAGTTTGTGACACAGAATATCAATATAATTGTCGTAAACGTAAAGCCTGTAGACCTGAGAGACGGCGCTGTCTATGCTTTGCAGTGAATCACTGAATGACTGATTGACTGATCAGTGTTTGTAAGCTTTGGTCGACAGCTGTAAACAAACCATTGATTGAATGTTTGATTTAACGGACAATTCATTGCTTTTATAATCATATGATTAATGACTCAAAACAATAACCCATTAGAAGTGGCCAAACATATTGTCGATCACTTGTATGACTTCAGAGACAACTATTTCATCGATTGTGACAACGGATCCAACACTTCTGAACCATTGAATTCATATAAAAGTAAACAAATCGATGTCAACAATAAATTAGAGGTAATTATGACTGAATGAATGTCTTTGATTCATCTCATGAGTGTCTTATTGATTGTTAGGAAGCGTTGAAACGTTTGGATGAGTTGTGTGTCGACAATGAGTGGACGGCCAGTGATCGGGCATTATATCAGTTACAGAGGGGAAGGGCTTTCAATATAAGCGACAAATACGTGGATCAGGCGTTCGAAGCGCTGAGTCGTGCCATCAAACTATGGCCACAACTGACTGAGGGGTGGAATCAGTTGGGGGAGTGGTATCGCAAAAAGGGGGACAACGAGGCAGCACTCAACTGCTTCGAGAGTGCCTTAAAACACGAGATCAATAAGACATCCCTCAGAAATGCGTCCATCATTTTGAGACAATTGGGAACCACTGCTCAAGAGAAGAGCTCTAATCTACTGAAGAGTGTGGAGAGGGCTAAGCAAGCACTGGAGTGCGATGTCTGTGACGGCATTTCGTGGTATATCTTAGGCAACGCCTACTTAACCCTATTCTTCAGATCTCACACTAAAAGAGATGAATCGGTTCTGAAGGCGTGTAAAGTGGCGTATCTGAAGGCATATAACCACCCGTTGGCCAGAAATCAGACCGATTTCCTCTTCAATTACGCCACAGTTTGTCATTACGAACACCACTTCCAAAGAGCTCTCGATTGTCTGCAAAGAGCTGTAATACTGGACCCCGAATGGGAGGAACCGCTCGCCAAACAAAACGCTTTAATCGCATATTTGAAAGATATCTGTGATGTGATCGACAAGAAAGCGTCGCTTAAAGCCAGAAGAATAAAACTTCTGATCGATAGTCTTATTAAAGACACTCGACTCAAGATTTATGAAAAGCGAAAGTTTGCGCAAATCAACGACTTGGAGGTCGGCACCAATGCGTCCACTGACTTGATCTGCAAAGTGATCCATTGTATTAACAATAGCTCAGCCATGGCTAACACATACTGTCTGATGGATGGCAACAAAGAATGTATGGCTCTATTCGTGTACAACCTGTCGGCCCAAAACGGACCCAAAACCGGCGATTCAATTGTCATTCAAAGACCTACTGTTGAATCACACGATTTTGACATCGAAGACAAGAACTATACATTGAAAAGCATTCGCGTCGATAATCCACTCAATCTTATCATTAACAACAAAACCATTTCGAAAGACAATATAGTTTTGCCACAAATTGACAACACATTGAGAAA